CAAAAAGCTCCCTACTCACCTCAACGAATTGGGTTTGCATGAGAGTTCAATTTGTTAGATGCAAAAGGCGGTCATATTAGGTACAACGGCGATCATCTGCCGAACCCTGTCCAAGTGACACCTCATTAGCTTTGAGAAATCCGGCGAAATGGGGAATAATACTACCACATGTGTCATAAAAAAAAAAGAATAATAATAATAATAATAATAATAATAATAATAATAATAATAATAATAATAATAATAATAATAATAATAATAATAATAATAATAATAATAATAATAATAATAATAATAATAATAATAATAATAATAATAATAATAATAATAATAATAATAATAATAATAATAATAATAATAATAATAATAATAATAATAATAATAATAATAATAATAATAATAATAATAATAATAATAATAATAATAATAATAATAATAATAATAATAATAATAATAATAATAATAATAATAATAATAATAATAATAATAATAATAATAATAATAATAATAATAATAATAATAATAATAATAATAATAATAATAATAATAATAATAATAATAATAATAATAATAATAATAATAATAATAATAATAATAATAATAATAATAATAATAATAATAATAATAATAATAATAATAATAATAATAATAATAATAATAATAATAATAATAATAATAATAATAATAATAATAATAATAATAATAATAATAATAATAATAATAATAATAATAATAATAATAATAATAATAATAATAATAATAATAATAATAATAATAATAATAATAATAATAATAATAATAATAATAATAATAATAATAATAATAATAATAATAATAATAATAATAATAATAATAATAAGGGGGGTGGGTTGGCTCAATGGTTAGAGTCATGACTTTGAGATCGGAAGGTCTCAGGTTCGAATCCCACCGTTGGCCGGGATTTTTTCATTTAATTTAATTATTTAAAATTAATTCTGATGCCTTGGTAGGATTCCCCACTCGACCATTCACTGTTGGGTTCTAATTAACAGTGCTGTTCCTAAAGTGGCGCTGGGAAACAGTAACAAAGCCTACACAGAACACGAGGCTAATGGCCGTAGTAGTCGACGCCGATGACACCAAATTAAAAAAAAAAAAATAATAATAATAATAATAATAAAAAAATAAACAATAGTAAACAAAGTGTAAGTTAAAATATGAAAGACATTATACATAAATATAAAAAAATATATAAAATAATAAATATTTAAAAATCTAAAACAGCCTTAGTTATCACTGGTGTTTTAAAATAACTTGCTGCATATTTCTATTTTTAAACAGCTGTCTACTTATAATTTTTTTGTTATTCAAGGAAAGAGTATTGTACAATTTCACTCCATTGAAAATAAAGCTTTACGATATCGAGGTACCGACAATGTCATAGTATCCCTCATGTTTGTATCAAGAAGTGTCCTTCTGAATATAAGTTTGTTACAAATTTAAGAGGGTAAATCAGTTTTTATGATTTTATGGACCATTAATTAACTGCAATGTTAACCCTTTTTGTATGAGTCATCCAGAACTTTTCTAGAACATCTGGTCAACATATTTTTAAATTCTACAGCAAAATCTTGAAAATTTTTTAAAGTCTTTTGTTGCAAATTGAGGTTTATTACTTCTCTATTATTCCAAATTTTTACTACATCAATACTTTTCGACAAACCCTTTTCTGAATTTATAACTTTCATTTGCTTAAAATGTAAGATTTTTTGCCTAGAATAGAATAGAGAAAAATTAAAATGTAAGATTTTTTGCCTAGAATAGAATAGAGAAAAATTTAAGTATTTTGCATTGTACTCTTTCAAGAGGACACTTCGGCTCGTCCAATTTATAACGTACCGTCTTTGGCCCTAAAATTAGGATATTCAATTAAAAAATGTGTTAATATTTTAAAAGGAATGTCACTTCGAAAAGGAGATATACAAAATTATGATAAATTAAATAGATTTTTAGAAATTATGGACATGGAATGGTCAATTAAAATATCTGCTAATGCACTCGCAACATTTGAAACAAGGAAAATGAACACAGTTGAACTACTGCCTTTAACAGAAGATTTGGTAACTCTCAATAATTACTTAAACGATGAAAATCAAAAATATAATAATGTTTTAAATTTAAATTGCACTTATCCAAACTGGAATCGTTTAGCAACTGTGGTACTGGCTAAATTAAATGGACCGTTATTGAGTTATGGACCGTCTCGTATACGGTGGGACACCCTGTATATAAATTCCATTTAATACAACTTACTGTAGATTAACTCTATCAAAGATATATTTAGTCGATAGTAGCCAAACATCATATTCAGCTCCCAATGGAAATGTTGATAAACGCCAAAAAGCGTGTTAATATAATTATTTTTCAAGTAGTACGTAGATACCAAATTTTAAGAGTTCCTCACTTTTAAAGAACTACTCTACAATATTTTAACCGTAATTATGACGCATTCATATATTGCATTAACTGTGGCGTATTGTGTAATTACGGTGCATTTTACGTTAACTATGACGCACTGTGTAATGTCCTCCCTAATTGTGACACACGGAGTGTAAGTTTTCCGTTACTGCATTAACTGTGGCGGCTTAAAAGATTTGCTAATAATTTACTTATATTGAAGTGTAAATGAAAACTGAAGATACCTACCTTTACCTAATTTTCAGCTTTATCCACATCTGCTAAAATATCGAAGAGAGTCACAATTTGGTCTGGAGGTCGGTCCGCCACAGTTAATACGAGTACGTGTATGTGTGTGTGTGTGTGTGTGTGTGTGTGTGTGTGTGTGTGTGTGTGTGTGTGTGTGTGTGTGTGTGTGTGTGTGTGTGTGTGTCGCATAACTCATGAACTGATACACAGAAAAACACCAAATTTTAAACTTAAGCTTTGGTCCAGCGTCCAAAGAGCTGATTAGATTTTCGGCAGAGTCGGAACATCTGGGAGGGTACTTTATGGGTGATCATTTTTATATTTTATAGAATATATCTGTTATTTACGTTTGGGGAAGAAAATTCTTTTAATGAAAGTTACTTCTTATAATATTATCTATAATTTTTGTTCTATACAAAATTTTCCTAAAATGGTCCGTATTCGAGAAATTTGACAAAATGTAAAAAAATATTTTTCTATAAAAATGTTTGAACAAAAGTTGTTTGTAATATAATTCTCTATAATTTTTATTCCATACATAATTTCTCTAAAATGAACCGTATTCGAGATATTTGAGAAAATATATAAATTTCGAAATTTGAAGAAAACTCAAAAACGGATAAAAAAAACTTAAGTTTTATTTCGGCCTGACGTAAAATGATTAGATTTTTGACAAAGTCTGAACATCTGGAGGGGGGTACTTTATGGTAGGCCGTTTTTATATTTTATGGAATATATCTGTTATTTCTGTTTGGAGAAAAAAATTGTTCAAATAAAAGTTACTTCTAATAATATCTATAATTTGTGCTTTATGTAAAAATTTCCTGAACTGTGCAAAATTCTGATTTTTATGAAAATTGTTAAAATAAAAGTTGTTTGCGATATCGATCTGTATAATTTTTGTTTATACATGATTTTTCTAAAATGAACCGTAATGGAAAAATTGTAGGAAAAGTGCTAAATTAAAATTTTTCAGTATTTTCGTTTTCAATGAATATCTATAGAAAAATGTTTCGAGGTAGATGTATGTGGAAAATGTATATATTTAGTTTATCCTCCTCTAAACATTTATAGAGGTGCTGCAATAGGTTGTACAAAATAACCTGAAAAATCCTATAATAACTAGATAGGAAAGTCATGTGTTGAACACATCAGATTTTTTTTTTTTTGTTAATTTTTCTTTTTGAGATTGAGATTTTATTAGATCGTAATACTAAATTGTTGTTTATAATGTAGTTAGAGGAAATATTAAATATTTGCAAGGAATTTGAGAATTAAATAAAAAAATATAAAAATGTTAAACTGAACATTTATAAAAAATAAATACAGAGGGGCCAGGCAAAGCAGAGAGATTAGACAGAACAGCACACGCGAAGAGAACACGCGAGATTATTTCAGTAATACAAAATGAATTTGTTGAGTTGATCGTCTTAACAGCAGGTCGTTTAAAAACGAATCAACCTTTTCACTACCATTAGGTGGTTAATTTTACAAATCTCGTTTTATCTACCAAAAGAAAACATTTTATTCGTCCTATATAGCATTTGCAGTAAGGAAAAGTTCACTAACTAGTAGTTAGTGATTTTATTTCTTGTTCACATTCACAGAAGAATCTTAATTCAAGAAATATATTTATTACATTTTTCAGAACTCTAAAAGCTGTGTCCATTATATTAAATTCCTGAAAATCTTTCATTATTATGTTCTTTGATATCCACCAAAGCGCAATTGTTATTTGTCAAGCGTTCGCAAAACCCATTCTCTCTATAATTTCTTCTTTAGTATTTCACTAATTACATCGACTACTTATTCGTTTCGGCCTTTATTTCAACCGGAAATTTAATGAAATTTAATTTGGAAAAATATGAGATTTTAATTGATACGGGACCTACAATAGAATTCTTTAATTACTGATTATTTTTTCTCATAATTAAGTAATGATTGCTTTAGTTTTTGATGTGGAAATTCTTGTTTTCATAAAACGACTGGGAATGATGTAAAAACAAAACAGGACTAAGACGAGTAAATTTTGGAATCTTTAAATGTTTCAAAAGCCTTATACAAGTGGAATTTTTTTAATGTGATTAAGAAAACTCATTGGTTGAAACAGAATATTTTTATCATTTTTCGTATAGTCACGTTTAAAATATGTCAGTTTCAATTGGAACAATCCGTATTGTTTTTATTGTTTTTAACTAACAACTCAGATTAGTTTGTTAGTTTGCTTATGTACCTACCCAAAATATTTTAATATTAGATCAAAATAAAAAATAATTTAAAACACTAAAAAAACATTAAAAAACGCTAAAAAAAAGGTAAAAACACTAAAAACACTAAAAACACTAAAAACACTAAAAACACTAAAAACACTAAAAACACTAAAAACACTAAAAACACTAAAAACACTAAAAACACTAAAAACACTAAAAACACTAAAAACACTAAAAACACTAAAAACACTAAAAACACTAAAAACACTAAAAACACTAAAAACACTAAAAACACTAAAAACACTAAAAACACTAAAAACACTAAAAACACTAAAAACACTAAAAACACTAAAAACACTAAAAACACTAAAAACACTAAAAACACTAAAAACACTAAAAACACTAAAAACACTAAAAACACTAAAAACACTAAAAACACTAAAAACACTAAAAACACTAAAAACACTAAAAACACTAAAAACACTAAAAACACTAAAAACACTAAAAACACTAAAAACACTAAAAACACTAAAAACACTAAAAACACTAAAAACACTAAAAACACTAAAAACACTAAAAACACTAAAAACACTAAAAACACTAAAAACACTAAAAACACTAAAAACACTAAAAACACTAAAAACACTAAAAACACTAAAAACACTAAAAACACTAAAAACACTAAAAACACTAAAAACACTAAAAACACTAAAAACACTAAAAACACTAAAAACACTAAAAACACTAAAAACACTAAAAACACTAAAAACACTAAAAACACTAAAAACACTAAAAACACTAAAAACACTAAAAACACTAAAAACACTAAAAACACTAAAAACACTAAAAACACTAAAAACACTAAAAACACTAAAAACACTAAAAACACTAAAAACACTAAAAACACTAAAAACACTAAAAACACTAAAAACACTAAAAACACTAAAAACACTAAAAACACTAAAAACACTAAAAACACTAAAAACACTAAAAACACTAAAAACACTAAAAACACTAAAAACACTAAAAACACTAAAAACACTAAAAACACTAAAAACACTAAAAACACTAAAAACACTAAAAACACTAAAAACACTAAAAACACTAAAAACACTAAAAACACTAAAAACACTAAAAACACTAAAAACACTAAAAACACTAAAAACACTAAAAACACTAAAAACACTAAAAACACTAAAAACACTAAAAACACTAAAAACACTAAAAACACTAAAAACACTAAAAACACTAAAAACACTAAAAACACTAAAAACACTAAAAACACTAAAAACACTAAAAACACTAAAAACACTAAAAACACTAAAAACACTAAAAACACTAAAAACACTAAAAACACTAAAAACACTAAAAACACTAAAAACACTAAAAACACTAAAAACACTAAAAACACTAAAAACACTAAAAACACTAAAAACACTAAAAACACTAAAAACACTAAAAACACTAAAAACACTAAAAACACTAAAAACACTAAAAACACTAAAAACACTAAAAACACTAAAAACACTAAAAACACTAAAAACACTAAAAACACTAAAAACACTAAAAACACTAAAAACACTAAAAACACTAAAAACACTAAAAACACTAAAAACACTAAAAACACTAAAAACACTAAAAACACTAAAAACACTAAAAACACTAAAAACACTAAAAACACTAAAAACACTAAAAACACTAAAAACACTAAAAAAAACTAAAAACACTAAAAACACTAAAAACACTAAAAACACTAAAAACACTAAAAACACTAAAAACACTAAAAACACTAAAAACACTAAAAACACTAAAAACACTAAAAACACTAAAAACACTAAAAACACTAAAAACACTAAAAACACTAAAAACACTAAAAACACTAAAAACACTAAAAACACTAAAAACACTAAAAACACTAAAAACACTAAAAACACTAAAAACACTAAAAACACTAAAAACACTAAAAACACTAAAAACACTAAAAACACTAAAAACACTGAAAACACTAAAAACACTAAAAACACTAAAAACAGTAAAAAAAACTAAAAAAATAGTAGAAGGAAACACTAAAAAAACAATTAAAACACTAAGAACACTAAAAAACGCTAAAACCGCTAAAACCACTAAAAACATTAAAAAATACTTTAAAACACTTTAAAACACTTAAAAACACTAAAAACACCAAAAAATACTAATAACACTAATTACATTAAACAGTTATAAAACAGTAAAAAAAAACAGTAAAAAACAGTAAAAAAAAATAGTAAAAAAACAGTAAAAAACAGTAAAAAAAACAGTAAAAAAACAGTAAAAAAACAGTAAAAAAAAACAGTAAAAAACAGTAAAAAACATTAAAAAAAACAGTAAAAAAACACTAAAAAACAGTAAATAAAACAGTTAATAAAACAGTAAAAAAAACAGTAAAAAAAAACAGTAAAAAAAAACAGTAAAAACAGTAAAAATAATAAAAACAGTAAAAAAACACTAAAAACTTTAAAAACCCTAAAAACAAATAATAAAAAACACAAAAAATGCTAAAAAAAAAAACGAAAAACACGAAAAACACTAAAAAACGACAAAAAATCACTAAAAACACTAAACCCAAAAAACAATAAAAACCACTAAAAAATACTAAAGAATACACTATACTAAGAATACTATAAAACCCAAAAAAAAACAGAAAAAATACTACAAAAAAAATTAAAAAACACTGAAACACTAAAAAAAAAACAGCCCTGAAACAGCGGCACTAAAACAGTAAAAACACTAAAAAAACAGTAAAAACAACTGTAAAAGAAATAGTAAAAACAACAGTAAAATCTGATGTGTCCAACACATGACTTTCCTATCTAGTTATTACAGGCTTTTTCCAGTTATTTTATACAACCTATTGTAACACCTCTGTAAATGTTTAGAGGATAAACTAAATATATACATTTTTCACATATTTCTTAATCGAAACATTTTTTTATATATGTATATTCATTGCCAATAACAATACTGAAAAATTAAAATTTTACTCTTTTCCTCCAATTTTTTAGTTTAACAATTTTCTTAAAAACGTCCCGGAACTCAAACATCCCAGTACTAAAACGTATTGGCACTGACACGTCCCGGCACTGAAACGGCGGCACTGAAACGTCTCATTTCTGTTCAAATATCCTAATGTACTTTGTACACATTTTACCTACACGTATTTTGTTTTGTTACAAGTTATTTTATTTAGAGACTTACTATTAGAAATGTTTCGGGAAATTTTGCGACAACTCTACACTAAGTACGAAAATGAATAATTCGTGGAGACGTTTGATGTGTCGTAATATATCTCGAAACTATTCTAATTAGTGAGTTTTAGGTAAAAACAATATTTAAATATGAAAGGGATAAGCTACACATCCTGGAAACAGCTCTACGGTACTTTGCAATATATGACCGGGTTTACATGTAAATAAATGTATCTGTTGTTTCTGTATTGTTAAATATCAAAAATTCATAATGAACCACCAATGCATTTTATATAATTCCAGCATCAATACCAACCAATTCCAACATTGTTCTAATAACTATTCACTCCCAGTTTCATTAGTTTTATGTGACCTGTAATTACTGTTCCACCGCAAGATGACATGTAAAATATGATTGTATCCATTGGATTAATATTCCGGCTAGCTATATTCACAGCCAAACATGATACGTGTTGAACACTGACACCACCGTTCGAACTGCGGATCCTCGAATGTCTTGTGAAATTAATTGATCCAGTAATTAGTTCCTCCAGTTGAATTACTTCCAGTAAATTCGTGATATCTGCTCGGTAATGTATATCGTGCAAGGTTTTGCAATTACGTCTAATTTGTCACACGGAATGTATATAGGTGTGCCTTATTGGCCAAGAAACTTAGGAAATGAACGACTTGGCACTGAAATATGCCGAAAATTTGTATTGTAATTAATTTTAGTGCGACTGATCCAGATGTAGCTTAAATATAATGTCTGTGATGTGAATACCTAGCACCGAGTTTGTAATTATATTATCGTGAAATTATTTTAGTTTATAACTTACTATTAAATTACGGAGTGGTAGAGTAACTATGTAACAGTTTTATCATTTTTTAATGTCAATCTCGATCATTGTATATCTAACTCTTAAGTAGAAAAGTATGTACATGAAAATCTCAGACAAACAAATGAAATATAGATATAGAACGGTTTGGATTTATTTGAAGTCAGTATCTACCGTTTTATTTAATAATTTCTCTTTCTCTAGGATCTTTGATGTGATTCTGTTGTGCTGTAGACTTATAGACTTGACTTTTATTTAAAGATATTTTATTTTAAATTACAACGTTGACAAAACATATGCAGTGATTATTATTTTGTATTAGGCATAGCCGTGCTTTTACAGTAAATATGTGGCAATTACGGTATCGCCGCTATTGCTATACACTCTGGTTTAGTCATTGACATTCGGTTCGGCTACTATCCCACCGCCATATCTTCTTACTTTAGTCGACGACTGGCTGTTGCTCCGTTGACATTTTATTAACTTATATACTAGAGTCGTATGCCTAACACGAAAAAATAAGTACTGTATATCATGACAATGACAACTATTATTTTATAAATTGTACTGCGCGAAGTCTCCTATGAAAAATTACACAGGGTGATTTTTAAACATCTCTCCTACTTTGAAGCCTTATAAATTGACAATCCAAAATATTCAAAACATTTTCTAAATTTTTTGACAGGTAATGGTTTTGTCAAGGCATCCGCAATTAGCTGATGAGTTTTCACTTGATGAATACTAATTTTACGACTTTCTGTTGAAAAAATAAACACGAACGTATGGAGACCACCCCTTACCCTTATCGTCATTCGACATTCTTTTTTTTGAGTTAAATTATCATTTTTTTCATTGACATTGTATTTTTAATTTTTCACTGATGTCACTTTTTTAAATAATAAAACCTTTTAATTCAAGTTGCAGACCACTACCGTGTATAATCGTTAACAGGTTGTGGACCAAGTTATGCTGTGAATGCAATAGGTTGGCCTTGCAAAGTCACTTATTTAATATTTGGAGCAGTATCTTGTCTACACGTTGTATGTAAATTTCTTAAGGATAGAACTTTCAAGAGTTGTTATTGATAAACTTGAAGGGCAGTCTAAATGGATGGACTGGAAGTTCCAAATAAGAATTCAGTTACGTAAGCAGTTAATGGTACTTTGGAGTATTCAGAATATTTGGCACCGACTGCAACTGAAATTCAAAAGGCAGAATATCGAAAAGCTCTCTCCTTCGCAAATAAAATTGATATACGGCTCAGAATTTAATTGTGTCGAGCTTAAGCAGTCAGGTACGGTAATTAGTTAACATGTGCAGCAAAGCAAAAGATATGTGGGATCAGCTACATAGTGTGTATGAACAAAGAACTGAACAAAGACAGGATCGTCTCTTTAATCAGTTCTTTAGTGTTCGGGAAAAATATTCTCAAGACACTGTAGCTAGACATATTGCCAAACTCGAGAAGTTATCGTTAGAATTGCAAGATCAAACCTGGCGGGAAGACAAAGTTAAACTAACCGACTTGTTATTTTTAAACAGAGTTTTGAATACCTTGCCTGCAGAATATTTTGAGTTTAGAAATGCATACCGAAGGATCAACGTATAATATTTTATTGTGTGAAAGATTATATACTGTGGAACTGCTAATTAGGAAAGAGGAGCTGAATATGGTGATATGTTTAAAAAAACAGCCTTAATTGCCAAATCAAAGAACTCATCTTCACATAATCAAGACAATGTTGCTGATAAAAAGAAGAAAAGGATCACCTGCTACCAGTGTGGTAAGAGAGGACACGTAAAACGTGACTGTCCCAAGAAGGATGAGAAAATTAACAGAGGAGCTGCAGATACCTCTTCTAAATCGGCTTTTGTGGGCGTCTCAATTTTTTCGTAATTTGATAAAAAAGATTTGTGGTCAGCAGATTCAGAGACAACACAGCATAAACAAGCCGAAAAGAATGGTTTGCATCCTTTGAACGATTTTCATCCCCACAGTATGTCTTAGTTGGTAATAGGCAGCAAATTCAGGCGTTTGGTATGTTCCCGAGATCAGCCGTAAACTTTTCTCAATTTCATGTAACGTCGATAAAGGAATGACTTCCAGTCTCACTAAAACTACTTGTTCTATCGAGAAAAACTGTAAGAAAGTAGCTATTGGAGAGAGGAAAAATGGCCTTTAATTAATGTTTATTGGAGTCTTGTTACCCAAAGCAGTAGTGGAGGTACACCTGACTGAACAAAATATTCTTCAGGTTTAGCATGAGCGTTTAGGTCACCAAAATATGTGCTATGTTCAGAGTTTTTTGAAAAGTCGACGTATTGATATTCCACTGGATGAACATTTTTGTGAATTTTGCCTGTATGGGAAGTAGCATAGATTAAGTTTTGGTACACGTCAGTCCAGGGGACTTAAACCAGGAGATCTAATACATGCAGATATTTGCGGACCCATGCATGAGAAGTCTCTGGATAGAGCTCGTTATTTTCATTATTTAAAAGACGATTGTACTAATATTACCTTTTCTCCTTCAGATTTATAGGGGATGGAAGGGTTATTTCTTTTTACTAACTCAGTTTTATAAAATTCGGGAGAGTAGGGTCTTGTTCTTAGACACAACGCAAATTTTTATAAATTCAATTTAATTTTTGACAGCG